GTTCTTTCTTTGGGTTTTACTGACAAATGAGTTTCTGGAGTAATTAACAGAAAAATTGAAGTTTCTTACTGTTCTGCCAGAACTTTGTTGTGCAAAATACTCAAGAAATCTCAGCAGGTTCTGTTTTTCTTCTTCATGCAACTCTGTTTTCTCCCTGTACTTGTCCAAATTGGGAGAACAGGCACTTCCCATGGAACCACAGAATGGGTTGGGTGGAAGGGACCCCAAAGCTCCTCTCATTCCACCCCCTCCTTCCACTATCCCAGGTTGCTCAGAGCTCCATCCAAACTGGCCTTGAACACTTAAGCACATAATATTAATTTGTAAAGTTTACATTTTAAGTACATAAATCCTATACATTTTAATTTGTCCTTAATTATTACTTGTGAAGTCTTCAAACTATGAATGGGTCTTGTCTTTGTGTTTTAATTGACATTTAATTATGTGGCCATAACATAAAGAACCAGAGCCAAACCTGTCATTTACAATAAGCTCCGTGTTTTAATAAGTAGATAGATTTGCATTGAAATGCAAAACCAGCAGCAGTATTATATTTGCATGTGAAAGCTCACTGGAAGGTGAAGGCAGCTGGCAGTACTGCTGTGAGCTCTGCACAGGTTCTTTTTGCTTGGGCTGTCCTTTAATACCAAAACATCACAGGTAATTCTGTCTCCCAAGACTGGAAATCTCATTTTTGACAGTAAATGATGTTGGTGAACTGTTCATGGAGGGTATCTGTCAGAATTTGTAGCAATGTAACAGATTCATGTCAGCAGAGTGAGTGGAAGTGGTACAGAAAGTGCCTTGGGTGGTTCCAACACCGCTGTGCAGAGAAGGAGAAAAGGGAGCTAATGGTCCCTCTCAGGAGTGGGAGCTTGCAGCAGATTTCTAAAAGCAGCTACTGCCTACCAAATCAGTGTTTATTTCTTCACATCAACATGTTGACACTCATTTTGTTTCTAGATTTTATCCAGGAAATCTTTGGGTTTGTATCTAGAAAGTTTTGTATCTGGAGAGTACTGAAGGAGTGCAGAACTCTGGCAGAGCATCAAAGCTCCTCCTTAGTGATTCCCCACTGCTCCTGCAAAGGTGTTTTCCCAGAGGAGGAACACAGAAGTGTTCAAACATGCATACCCAAGTCTAGGCAGTGTGGGTTCAGTTGTAAATGGGTGACTTTTAAACAGAGGGAAAAAAAATTTATTAAATCTGGTGTGGTTTCGATAAATAAAAAAAAAAGTTCCTATGCTCTTCTTGATAGGTACAAAACTCCATATGCAAAACCATAAATTGAAGTTTATTATTGTCCCACTGACAGTTTACTACATTTTCTTGTCAACACACTACCATTGGAGCAATAAAAATGTCAAGCTATTAACATTCACCATCAATTATTTATCACTTTAGTAAGCAATGTTATGTGATTCTTCTGCCATTCTTTTGTTTTCTGCTTTTGGTGTTCTTACAGTGTTGTAACATACTTGTATTGCTTCTGAAAAGTGGTTTTGTTTAAGCTGTATGAAACTGTGTTCTTAACACTTCTATTCTGTTTACAAGTGAACAGCCACTTTTTTAACAGGACCTCACGTCTGGAGAGTTTTCTCTCCATTTTTTATTTTGAATGAAAATAAAATTCTAACTGAGCTTGCTTTCTATAATTTACTGCACTGGCTTGTGCCGTTGAAAGAAGCTGGAAGTCAGACATGCTTCATCACTTTGAGACATTTTTCTTTAATTAAATTCAAAGATGAAAACCTTGAGTAGTGCAATGTGTTTATGAAAAAAACCCTGGAATTCCCTGCGTCTTTCCCTGTAGAGGTGTTGCAGTGGGATGGCAGCAGTGGTGGGGTGTGTCTAAATGAGACACACCTGACACAGCCAGGCCAGGGCCTTAGCTCGTTTAACAACAAGGCTTGGAAAGCTTAGGAAGGAGTTCCAAAGGTGAAAACTGCAGAATGATCATTAATCTGATTTTCCTGGTGATCCACCTTCCTGCCAGGACAGTCTCCATCCCTGGAAGTGTTGGAAAAGGTGTGGATGTGGCCCTGGAGGATGTGGTGTAGTGGTGACCGTGGTGGTGCTGCTGGTTGATGGTTGCACTTGGTGATCTCCAAAGTCTTTGCCAGCCTTAACAATTCCATTATTTCTTGGTGGGCTCACAGACCCTCCCTGGTAAGGGAGGAAGGAATCTCTCTCTGCAGCATTCCTCTCCAAAAGCAGAGGTTTTCTCACACCTCCCAGGGAGCCGGCCTGAGCAGGGATGGTGTGTGAGGGTGAACAAATGCTGGCTCCCAGAGGAGTTTGTGCCCAGCACAACGCAGCCCTTTGTGTGTGTGACCAGCCTGGCTTTGGAGCTGTGAAAGCAGGACTTAAAACTAAAGCCTTTGCCTCGTCCCTGATGGGAAAGCACGCATTCCTGAAAGGGGCACGTGCAGTGTTTTTGTTGGAAGTTGCTCTGGGCAAACCCAGGGCTGCTGGAGCATGGAGCTGATCCTGGATGTTGGCTGAGAAACGCAGGGAATGTTTCTGGGACGTTCAGCCAAAAGGAGGATGAGGGGCTGAGTCAGGAGTTAATTCCCTGGGGGCTTTAGGAGATGTAATTGCCCAGACTTAGCAGCAAAGGCCTGTGTTAAGGGTATTTGGGATTTGGCCCTGACTCTATTGGAAGGCAGTCTCAGACCTGTTGGTAGAGCAGCTTGCTGTGGTGTCTGTGCCAGTGTATTTATAATGCTGTGTCTGTCATCACTTGAACTGTTCTAGCTGAGTTTATTTTTTCTAGTGAAACTTGGAGAGACTTCAACCCTTCATTTCTTAGACCAAATTAAATGTTAGCCTCCTCTCAAAAGCAAAGTTCTGTTTCTGTTCATCCTGCTTGCATTCATTTGAATTAATTTTCCTTGAGTAGGAGTGACCAGGAACAATATTCCAGTTAGTGGCTCATGGCCAAGGCACCAGGTATTTATTTCAGTGCTGACAGTTCCCTCTCTTGTGTGAAAAGAATGCGATCCATTACATTTAAAGGGTCACATTTGTCTCCTCAGTGGCTGTATTGTATTTTTGATCCATAGCTGTTCTGTGATAAATCTGGGGCTATTTCTCTTCAGCCACTTGTAGTTTATACAAGTTCCCTGCAGACACTCATCGGTCCAGACTCAGCATCTGACACTTTGTACTGGTGAATCTCTCAATATTTCCATTACTGTGTCCTCCCAGTCCTCCAGTTCTCTTTGTATTTGTGCTCCCAGTCTTCCTGTAAAAAGTGTTTAGCACAGGCTGATTCAGTTTGCAAAATTAACACAAATGAGTTTACTAAAAAGATTAGTTCCCAGATTGATGCCTGAATTTTGCTTATGATTTTCTAAATGCCCTTTTACTTACTTAGTCCCTGACCTGCTTTAAATATTTCTGTTATTTCTACATCTGACTGAATCAGTAATTTCCTTGTTGTGGTTTATCTGGGAGATCGAATCCACCTGCACTTGGCTGATTTACATCTGGTTATTTTATAAACATGCAAACAGCAGATTTGGGTCTGGGCTAACCTGCTGAATTCCACATTTTCCCTAATCACTTGAATGTGTTTAGGTAATGATCCTTTCAATATATTCACATTTTATTTCACATTCTTTATGTGAAAGACCTAAAGTAGCCTTTTTTAAGCAGTAAATTAAAATTTCTGCAGGAAATAGGCTTGTATGTTTGTATTCAGTGATAAATATAACCTGAGATTTTGGCTAGAAAAGAAACACTTCTCACAACAGTGCTGGTCCCACGGGATAGGTAATAAAATTGGAAAGAGGAATTACAGTAGCTCTCAGACTAATAAGAATTTAAAAGGCAAATATTAATCAAAAGGTGATGACTGATCTGTATTTACTGTAAATTATACGGTGTGCAAGCCTGGAGGGGTAATTGAAAACTACTGGTTCTCCAGAGTTTCTACAACAATCTCCTTGGACATTTTTGACAGTGAAGTGTCGGAACAGAGCAGCAAAAGGAATTCTGGGTTTTGTTGTAAATGGAAAAGAGTGGAAAATGGAAAGGCAGTGCTGAGCCTGTTGGTGAGCAGCACTTTCCCACCTCTGTAGAGTTAACCTGGGTACATCGGTATTACCAGGGATCTCATCAGTACAACCAGGGATCTCATCAACTCCGTGACTTTTGGATGTCCAATTGCCATCCCAGTTCCTACGGTGAGTACTCGTTCAGCATTCCCAGTGCAGGGTGCAGCAAGGCACAAGGAGCAGGAATGCACCACAGCCCCACCGGAACCGAAGGGCAGACAGCAGGAGCACTTTCATCTGGGATTTTTCTGGAACTGTTAGTGCATGGAAAACGTAACTTGCTTCAGGGTTCTCTATAGTTTTTGTGAGAATTAGTGCTGAAAATCAGCTTGCTCTAAGTTTCCCTGTGATACTGATGGAGGTAAGGGCTCTGGAAGAGGAGAGGGTGATGCCCAAACCGGAGCTCCCAGGTGGAGCTGCAGAAGGAGCCTCAGGCGCTGCATCTCCAGGCCGAGAAGTTCAGCATTCCAGAGGAGCTGCACGGCCAGGCCTGGGAGGTGCAAACCCCACCAGAGAGACCCGAGCGCGTCCGCAGCCGTTCGGGAGCAGCGCCGCGCTCACAGCAGTGACACGGAGCGGCGCGCTGTGCTTCCCGGCGCCTCCTCGGCAATCCTGCGGGACTCCTCACGTCCTTCCCGGGCGGCTCCGAGCGAGAGGGGCCACAGCGGCCGTTCGGGCTCTGCTCCGCACGCCGCGCTCCTTTCCGCGGCGCCTCAGGCCCGCGGGACCCGCGGCGAGGGCCGAAAGCTCCGACTCCCCCTCGCCGGAGAGCTCCGCGGGCAGGGCCGCGCTCCCCGTACCGCGCATGCGCGCGCAGGGTTGGCGGGGCGGGCTTGGCGGGCGAGCGGCGCCGGGGCCCGGCGGGGCTCTGAGGGCGGCGGTAGGGCCCGGCGGGGCCGTGAGCGCGGCTCCGTGCGGCCGGCGGCACTGGGTCCCCTCCTCCTCCTCCTCCCGCCGCCGCTCCCCGCAGCCCCGCGGCCGCCATGGCGACCGAGCTGGAGCCGCCGGCCGCCGGCGCCGTGTCGGGCGCGGCGCCGCTGGAGGCGGAGGAGGACGAGGAGCACTGGCTGTACGGGGGTAGGTACCGCCGGCCGCGGGGACAGCGCGGGGCCCCGGCCGGCAGCGGGCCCGGCCCCGCCTCAGGGCCGCCCCCGGCTGCGGGGCCGTGCGGGACCGGGGGCGGCCCCGCGGGAGCGAGGGAGGGACCGGCATCTCTCCCTGGGCCCGCTCAGGGACCGGCTCTGCCCCGGGCCCAGAGAGGGACCCGCGTCCGCCCCCGGCCTCCCCTCAGCAGCGCTTGAGCCGCTCTTTCTGGGCGGGTGGCGGCGTGTTATTGTCCTCTTATCAACAACACTGGTGCAGGGAGGTTAACGAGATGCTTTGTTAAGAGTTTCAGTTAGCTAATCACCCAAACCGTGTGAACCCCTGGGCTAACGGGACTGGGATGTGGCCGGTATAAGCCACAGGACTTCATTGAAACGTCTTTGTCCTCCCCATAGGCTTTCCACATGAATGCTTTTATGTTTCTTCTTCCCTGGCACGTCAAAATTCTATATAAAGACCTTGATAGGTGACTTAAGTTCCTATTTGATAGTTGTCTCTGTTCTCTGAGACTTAGAATATACATTTTGAACTTGGTTTGGTGTGAGACACCACCTCTGCAGATGGATGGCATTTGCTGGGTTGGGTTGATTTTTAGTTGTTCCATTTCTAGTTGAGCTTTGTTAAAAACAGAGCATAGGGGTTACAGTGCCTTTGCACCAATGGGGATTTCTGTACCTGTGATGTCTTTTGTGCTTGAATTTAGCTTTTTCCTTTTACTTGAATAATTTCTTTGTTCTTACTGTTGTTTTTGCAGATGACACCACTGGCAAGCAAGAAGATGGACCGATTTCTGGGTGAGTCCTGAGGCTGTTTATTCATTGTACTTATACATGGTGTAAAGATTGAGCCTTGTTGAGCAGAGCTTCGTGGGTGCTTTAGAGCAGTGCTGTTGCCAGGAACAGCAGCCTGTCCTTTCCCCATCCCATGGGATCATCCCCAGCTGCCCCCGTGGGGGTGGCAGGCATTTATGGATGTGGAAGCTGAACTGGATGAGTGCACTGGTTTGATTTAGAACTAACTTTTAGCCCTTTTTTCCTCTCAGCAATTAGCTTCAAACCAGAACTCTTTTCCAGTCAAATTCCATGGGAAAAATGATGCCCTGAGGACTGGCTTTGTGCTAGCTTGGCATTGGTAAAACTGGCCTGTGCTTTAGTCTGGGAAAGGTAAAAACCTTAAGCTTGGGTTAAAATCTTGAGCTGCTCAAGCCAGCATATTCTGTGAGATCTCTCAAGTGGTGTGGGTAAGACTTGGAGAGAAACCAATCATCATTTTGGCTTTCTGTGTGAGGAAGGGATTGTCTGTCCTGGGTTATATTTCCTCTCTATTTGTAGCTGTGTGTTTTGCACCAGCAGAGCTTGGTCTCGGCACAGGATTACCTGTTTGCCATTTTAAATGTAACATTTTTCAGAAGGCTTGGTGTTCACTGGGCTTGTGTGTGTTGAGCCCCTTCCAAAGTTCAGCTTGGGGTTTATTGTCATTGTAGGTTCAGTGTCTGGAGTGTTGAGGTTGTTACAGATACTGTCCTGCTTCTGTGCTTAAGGAGTATGAAAGCCTGTTCAAATAAACAAGTGATGAAAAACATGGTAAATTGTTACCTAAAAACATCAAATGAGCTTTGTGAGGAGGAACAACTTTTAGACAGAAATTTACAGCTGCTTTACATAAATCTGCCGTTCCTTGTCACATTCATCTGAATGTGATTTTACTTTACAAGCAGGAATAAAAATCTGAATTTCCAGCAACTGTCTCCAATAACTGCAAAATGCAGTAAGGAAGGATATTAGTGGCCATGCTGGCTGTCCTTTTTTTCCCCTCTTTTTACTTCCCCCCCCCCAATATTTCTTTACTACACTATGAGAATTTACCTAAAAGAAGAACTGTGGGGTGTTTTAAGAAAAATGACTCTTTGTTGGCTGTGCTGTCAGCAGCTGCAGCTCCAGGGATGCACTGCTGGCTTGTCTGGAGTGTTTGTCCCCAGGCAGGGAGCAGAAATCTGCAGAGTTTGGGATGCAGCATCACTGCCATTCCCTAGCCTAAGGCATGTGTTAGAGGCCAGCAGGGTGCTGTGCTGTCAACAGTGCCCAGGATTATGTTGGCATTCTGGGCAGGTGAAATCTCTGCCACAATTTTCTGTGCCCAGACAGTGCTGGGGACCTGTCAGCTGATTCAGTCCTGGGAAGCAGAGAGGTTAGGGAAAGGCTCCTGGTTCCCAAGTGTCTCTCTGAACTCCAGTTCATACATTTTAATGCACACCCACAGATGCTTCATGTGACTTTGGAGCTGAAGGTAAAACCTGCCACTCTTCCTGAGCTCAGAATCTCAGAGTTTTAAGGAGATTCAGGGTGGAGGTCAATGCCGAGTTGCTCAGATTGGGCAAAAAGTTTTCGAATCCATCAGAGATATTTTCTCCAGTGGTCCCTGCTTTGGTCCTCGTGTCACAGCCTGTGTCTGCAGCATGGAAATACCTGGAGGCTGATTTTCCCTTGGACATCTTGGCTGCCTTATATACCTGACAGTGTGTGCAGGTGTCACATCAGGGACATCACCTCTGGGACCTGTGCTTGGTCAGCTGCCCAACCTTCAGCCCTCCTTTTGATCTTGGCCTGAGGAATTTCTTTGTGTATGGGACTTTCCCAAAATGGGGCTTCAGTTATGCTCAGATTGTTTGTTCTTTGCTTTACATTCAGTAACTGTTGAGTTGTGTTATTTTGCCTTTCTTGTGTGGTGTCTCGTGTCATTCTGAAGTGGCTTTAATGTGACCAGTGTTTGGATTCTATGAGGTGCTGCCTGTTCATTTTTGAAAACAATCCTGTGGATGTTTGTTGTCTGACATGGGATTTTAAATTAACAGCAACATCTCCACAAAGCACTGGTGGAGAATTGGGTTTCTTTGGCCTGGGCTGTTCTGATTGTTTCTCTTGAAAAAACTCAGAATTATTTTGAAGTTCTGTGAAGCTTTACCTGTGACATTAGAGACAGATGAGCTCTCTGTATTTCAGTTCTGTAACACCTGGCTCTTTTCTAGCGTGTGTACATCAATTCCACTTTGTTGCTTGGCCAGTGCAATACACAATGTTAACATTTGTACAAACTCTTAAACTGGAGGTAAATCCAAACCTGACTGTTGTTTCATCAGGTCTCATTTGTAATGAGTGAGAAGAATGGGAGCATAATTTTTCCCATAACTTTTCCTTTTGGAATTTTAATTACTTCCTGTAAACTATTTGTAGAAACACTAAAATCACTTTTTCCTTAATTTCTCTGAGGCAGATGCCTTTGCTGCTGACTAAATGCATGTGTAATTATTAGCATCCTTAAGGAGGAGGTGAAATTTTGCTTATTATGGTCTTATTCTTATCAGTTGTGATTGTGCCAAACCGAGCTGAGCCAGCTGCCACTGAGCTGTTGAGTGCTGTCAGGTGCTCTCTGGATGTGTGAAACTGAATCTTCCCAGCAAAAGCAAAGCCAAGGCAGGAGGATGGATTTTTTTGTCAGGTAGTTGAGCAAATGCCAGCAGAACAAACACACAAGAAGAATAAAGCACTGTGTGAAAGTCACCTGCGCAAAGGCTTTAGAACTCCTTGTAGTGACCCTCTAGGCTGGGCTTGTGCACTTTCTCTTCTGTGTCACGGTCACTTTGTTTTCTCTGTCCCCACCACCAGACACACAGAGTCTGCTCACCCTCTGCAGGACGCTCCCCAGGAGAGCCGGCCCGTCAACAACGAGGACCGAGAGATGGCCCAGCACGTACGTGTCCCACTGCCCGCGGTGCCATGGGGATCTCTGTGCGACAAGCAGGGAGTGTAAAGATCCTGGTGCTGCCTAATACCTAGATCTGCAGTGTTGGGATGAACTGCCAGCCATTCCCAAAGCTAGAGCCAGAAACAGCCTTGTCTTGTCATCCTGCTGGGGTGGTGCGGAGGGGAACCCCGGTGCACGCTCTGCTTATTCCCTCTCAGGAGGCAGATCAGGGTCTCTGATGCTGCAGTCTGGTAGGAAAAGCAGAGCACGATGTGTTCCAGCTCAGTATTGTGACTTCTCAAGGACCTGTAAAACATGGCTGGGATAGAAAGCCCCCAAGATGCTGGGAATCAGTTTTGGTTCAGGCTCAGACCTGTGAGAATGCAATCTGGTAGCTTGGTGCTGGAAGAGGAGGAGGAGGGTTGCTTCTCCCCACCCATCTCTCCTGGACTCTTTGATGGGTTTGTTTTCTGCCACATCAAGGAGGGTTCATTCAGGGTTCTGGCAGACCCACGTGCTGTGGAAAAGGAGGGAGGGGGAGGGACATCTTCCTCATGTAGGGTGAGATGCTAATTCAGCTCATGCTTCTCAGAAAACTGCACTTGCTGGATATCTGGAAGATTTCTTTTTCTATTCCTTTACTTTTGTGCCCAGCACTGGGGTAGCACTGGAGTCAAATCTGTACAGTGAAGTGACTTGGGGGCTGACTGTGCTCAATCAGCCAAACCAAACTCCTCAGCAGCTCGCTGCCACAGAAGTTGTGGTGAGAGAATATTTGCCTTGAGGTTCTTAGGTGAAGCCTGGTGAATGTATTTTGGTGGTTCTCATTTGTGGTTGTGTACTTGGACCATGGCCCTTGTGAAGGAGATGTGTCAGAAAAGCCCCAGTTCTCAAAAAGAGTGGGGCAAAGGAGCTGAGGGACGAGGTGAAATTCTTAGAACTGGGCTAAACCTTCCCCAGGTTCAAAAATATTACTCCAAATTTCATGTAGGGCCAAATCTTCAAAGGATGCAGGAGTGTCTCCGTTAGCAGCTGCCCATTGTTGTTGAAGGATGTTCAGGAAGCTTCCTGAGCTTTGGCTGTGCTGGAGAATTCTCAAGTTGTGCGTATTGATGAGCTGCTGTGTGACTGCTGTTGCAGGCCCTTCCCAGTGGTGAGGATGATGAGGATGACAGTGACAGTGACAGCGATGACGATGATGTGAAGGTCACAATTGGCAACATCAAAACGGGAGCGCCGTCCTACATGTGGGTACTGCTGGCTGTGGGGTTTGGGGCTGAGGGATCCCAGCATGTGGGGATGGAAAGGGATGAGCTGAGAGCTGCTCTGGCTCCTGGGAGCGGTGGCCAGATCACCACAATGGCTCAGGAGCTGATGGGCAGCTCTGCCCTGCAATTGCTTGTTGGAGAATCCATCTATAAAACGGGAATGATAATCCGTGGGGCTGCTGCTGGAAAATTAACTTACTAATTCCTGGGCTCCCTGGGGCAGAATCAAAGGTGGGAAGTTCTGTTTAAGTAATCTGTGAAAACTTCCAGAACTAAAATCTGTACTGCTAAGAATTTGCATAAGCTGTGAATTCACTAATTTCTAGCTGTCTGATTTTCTGTGGCTCAGAAATGGCAAGGCAGGATTTGAGAAGCAGGAAATTATACTTTCTACAACTCTGCCTAATGTGCATTGAATAAAAATAATGAGAGAGCATTTTGCTTGCTGCTAGCAGCCTTCCTCTTACACAAATGACTTACCTGTGCTTTGCTGCATATTCTAATTTTTCCACTTTATGGATAATTTCCTTCTCTTGTTGTAGAGGTGGTTTCACTCTGATGGATGACTCTGAATAGCAAACCCAGGTGAACTATAGCATCTCCTGAAGGGTGTCAGGCCTTGAATATATTTTGCATGGGAATCTTTAGCCAAGTAATTTGTTCAAATGCCAACGTAGTGATTCTTTTCCAATAGGGGAACTCCTATGAATCTAAACTTAAAAACGGGTAGAGGCTATGGCGCATCAGCTTCAGGTACTGCTGTTCTTTTTATCCTTCACCTTTCCAGTGTTTCACCTACCTGGCACTGACAGCTGCAGCAGCTGCAAATTTTGCTCTATTTAAATGAATATAGAATTAGTGTAAACCAGCAATAGGAAGTGCATTTCCTAAAAAATCAGTGCTCCCAGCATAGTCTGAGGGGGCAGGATGCAGTGGAGTAATTTAATTACTCATCACTGAGCAAGGTGATTATAATTTTATTTAAACTAGGAAAAAAATTATTGATTGATACTTTTATAGTAAAACCCCAGAATATTTCTAAAATATATTGTTGCACTGGGGCTGAGCATTGCAGCTCTGGAGAAGGACTGCAACTCAGTGTCCTGAGCTACTTGAAGTGTAAGATACTGAAAGAAACAAACTCTGGCCTTGAGTAATAGCTGTGGTTATTTGGCTGCTGAAATTTTCCACACCATTCAGTTTAGTTTCTACTGTAAGTTGAGTCTTGGATTCTGTCCTTCTGCGTATGTGAGACTGTCCTTTCATGGGCTTCATTTACTCCCTTCCACTAATTGCTTTATCCAAATGAATTCTCTTCTGATTGAGAAAATAAGAACAAATTCCCCTTGTAGGTTCTGTACCTGACAGATTTTTGCAAACTCCTGTTAGTCCACTGAAGGCTGATCCTGAGAAAGTCTCTTGTTATGAGAAAATGTGTCTGTCTTGGGAGGGGAAAATAGATACTTTGCCTGGGGAGAAAAATAATTTCATTTTATTTTCATTTGGGATAAATTTCATGCATGTCCTAATGACTTACTCTGTCTGTAGTACCAATCTGGGTTGAATTTGCTTCTCTGCTGTTCAGCTGCAGGTGCTGCACACCCTGTTTGTTTATGGAGTGACTGGAGTCCTTTTTATTAAAAAGCTGATTGTGGTTACCTGCGTGCTGTAAACCTGGTGATTAATTCACTGCAGTGCTTTGTTTTTCTGCAATAATTTGCTGAGCAAATGAGTGGATTAAAGGCATTGCATTAAAAGTTGTAACAGTCCCTCTCTTCCCAAAGCCAAGTTGCAGCCCAAAGGTATTGACTTGGATGCCGCAGGGAATATAAATGGATTGCCTGTGATAGAAGTGGATTTGGATTCATTTGAAGACAAACCGTGGAGGAAACCAGGTGAGGCCTCACAGTTCCTTGTGGTAAATATTTTCTGCAGTTCTAGTTGTGTCTCTTGATTTCCACATGTAATTTCTGTCCATTTGTTGTTGCCAGGGAACAGGGAAGCTGGAACAATGTGTGTTGCTCAGTCTCTGCTGCCTGGCTAGACAGTCAATGGCATTTACTGATTGAACAAGCCATGCTCTATGTAAAATTGGGTTGCATTTATTCTGGTAATTGAAGTTCCCTAAAGGGAACAGTATTTTTTTAAATGGTCTATTTCATTAATTCCCTACTTCCTGAGAACATTGCACTGATACCAATCCAATAATGTTTGGCCTTAAAGGCAGCTGAGTGGGGTCAGGATTTGGTGTTGATATTTGTTTTCCTCTTCCTGTGCAGGAGCTTGTTCTGTGTCCCCAGGCCAAGCACAGAGTTGTCCCTATGGTCCCTCCTCATTTGGGTCCTGGGGCTGCCCACACTTATTTGTATGAGGGAGATTTCTCCTCCTACAGCTGTAGGATGCTACAAATCAGCTGCTCTTTTTCTTCTGATACTGGAACTAGACATGCAGATTTTTGCTGTGCTACTCTCATAAAATGTGCTCTGATGAAATGTCAACTGAAACAAAAAGTCCACTTGCCTTTTCCCAGCCATCGTGATTCTCCCTGTCAGCCCCTGTATTTTATTTATCTTTCAGCAATATTGCTGTGCTGAGTAAGTAGAGCTTTCCTGAGGTTGCCTGTGGTGTGGCCTGGGTACCTCCTGCCCACATGAAGGGCACTCCAGTGCTGAAAGCTCCATGGGCATGTCCAGGTATCAAAGCAGCACCGAAGCACCCTGCAGATGGTGCAGGCAGAATGGAACAGAAGCTTTTCTTCTGCAGGGATTTCTCCTTGATTGCGAAGTGAGACAGAGGGGAATGGGAAGAAAATGAGTTAGAAAGAATGCAGTGAAGTTCAAAGATAAGCGTGGACATGGTTGTGGCCATGCTGACATCCCTGGACCAAAGTAGAGCCAGCTGGCCCTAAAACAGTGTTGGAATGCAATAGAGGGAAGATTTCTGCAGAGCTGTGTGGTCTGTAAGTTTATTTTAGATAGCAAGTAGCTCATTACTCAACAGCCTTTCAAGTTTATATCCTTTACAGTTAATTGTTCAGCAGCTTGGTATGTCTTTGAGTGAGGGAGTGGAAGGAGAAATCCTGTGTGGAAGAACTAATAGAGGTCTGAAATAGAAGCTGATAAAATCGACAAGTAAATGTGGTGTTGCTGAGTCGGTGTGGATGCAGTTTGCATGTTTGGGTGGTATAGCAGGAAGAGTGGCCAGCCCAGGAGATAAGCCTCACTGCTTAGACCTCACAGTTAAACCAAGCTCAGCTTGGGCAGAGTTTTGCCTCACTCTTGTAGCAGCTCTTTGTTTTGGAGTTGGTCTGTGTAGGAATATCTTTACATGGGGGATGTTTGAGGGACACCTCAACAGGGCAGGAGGTGCTTTGTAGTGCTGGGAGGTGGGAGGGGTGCTCCTGTAATTCCTGCAGCTGGGATTGCCCCTCTGCATCTCTGGTTTCTTGGCAAGCAGTTTGTGGTCACCTCTGTTATTCAGAAGTGCTCGTGCTGAATTAGCACATTGCACAGGAGACTGGCAGTGGGAGATAACACTCTGGAATGGCTAATTAGGGTTGTGACTGAGATGTAATTACTTGTGTAGTCTGGGATGCATCAGTAAAAACCTTCCACTTCAGCTGCCTTTCACGAAATGGGTGAGCCCCAGAATCTCAAAACAGCAAAGGCAGTGATGGTCAGGAGGGGAATGTGTGAGCTTAGTTCTGCCAGGAAAAAGGTTCTGTGGCTCCACCCCATTTTTGTGGTGGGGGCTGGAACTGTCTCTCCTGTGCTGTGCCCAGCACTCAGCTGATGTGGACAATAGGAAGAAACCAGCCTACAAAAATCAGGCTGGTGAATAAGTGATTGCAGTGAGCTCCCAATGGCCTGTGGAGGTGCTGTCCTGTGTGTCCCAGGGGCTCCCACTGGTGTCCTGTGTGTCCCAGGGGGTCCCCCTGCTCTCAGGCCATGTTCCCCTCCCACCCAAGGTGCAGCCACTGTCTCCTCTGTGGCACCCGCAGCTTTCTGACAGGGAAAGGCAAGACTGGGCTCTCTGGAAAACTTTTGTTGCCTCAACCCTTTATATAAGCAGTTAAAGGACAGCTTGAGAGTGCAAGTGTGCAGAACCTCTGTGTTAACTCCTGCTCCCTCTGCCAGGTGCTGATCTTTCTGATTACTTTAATTATGGATTCAATGAAGAAACATGGAAAGCTTACTGTGAAAAGCAGCGGCGGCTTCAGCTGGGGCTGGACCCTGCTCCTCCCATCAGCACTGAGAACAAGATCACGGTGGGTGACGTGTGGCTCCAGGAAAACTGGGATTGTGTTTGTAGTCACAGAGATGAGGGTGTAAGAGCAGGAGATACCTCAGTTCTGAACTGTTCTGTGTGCTTTCAGCAAGGAGAAATGCAAAAATTAATCTTTAAAGATTAAATCTCTGTTGAAAGTCTTTTCTGTGTGGAAGGAATAGTTCCATCAGCCTGGCAAGTTTGAACCACTACAGCAGCAAGACTAGAGTGAATTTCCAGTTGACTTGTAGGGGTGTCTACTTGGAAAACCCTCTGGATGACAGAAGTGCAGGGAGGGGAGCTGAGCCCCCAGTGTTGCTTTGCTTACTGCTGGAGCCTGCTGCAGTGGTGTGGCTGCCTTTTGTGTTTGCAGACTGCTTTGGCCATCAACCTTGCAGGAATCCATGGTGGCCATCAGAACTTCAGCCAAATTGTCAGTACAGCAAGAATTGCTCATTCCAGTTTTGACTTAGTGACTCCATGGAAAATGATTTAAGTTTAATGAACTCATAACAGAACTTCCAGTGGGAGACAGTGGACAGCAGGCTGAGGCTGGAATGGCCATTAGCTGACAGAAATGGCTGTGCCTTGACTGAGGAATAGGTTGCTGTTCCTTTTCTTTTGCTGAGGATTAATCTCTGGTGCTCCATTCAGTTGAAAGAAGGGCACAACACCCATGTGTTATCTATTACCTTCCACAGGTTCAGCAGGGAAGAACAGGAAATGCTGAAAAAGAAGTGGAAAGCAACATCATCAAAACAGAGTTCAAAACAGACTTCTTGGCTCTGGTGGGAGGACGAATGAAGGCCGGGCCTCCTCCCAACAGGTAAGAGAGGAGCATGTTTTTCATGGGGGCATCTAAGAACCACCTGGGCCACATCTGAGTCTCCTCAAGCCTCAAGGAGAAGCTTTAAGCTTGGCAGGAAGCTGCTGTGGTCACTCATTCAGTGTCACTTCCAGCAGTACAACCCCTGCCTGTCCATGGCCCCCTCCTTGGCGCAGGGAGGGAATCCTGCATCCCAGCTGATGGGACACATCTCTGGGAGTGGAAGGAGCCAGGCAAACACCTCAGCTCTGAGGGCTCACATTGCTGACATTGCTTGTGCTTGCGTGGCTTATTCCTACTCCCACGATGTTAATCTTTGCCTCCTCAAGTGGAAGTGGATTACGAGTTTGGCAGAGGATAAGAGGAGCTGTTGGTTCCTGAGCCTGTGTGCGACGCTGCTGGATGTGTGGTAAAACAACTGAGTCATTCTGAGGGGCAGCCTCTGCTGGGGAAACCACTAGGCCCTTAGGAGACCGATGGGGTTTTATCAAAAGCTTCAGAAGAGCACACCAGACGAGCCAGAGCTTTGGGCTCACGGTGTTTCTGTTGCTTCATTCACAAAACAGCTTTTGCACACCTGCCTTGCAGAAAGCAGCCCTGCATCCCAACTTTATTGTCTGGGAACCAGCTGTGTGCTTCAGGGATGAGCATTAAAGCTCTGCTCAGTCTGTTGGATTTGAGCATTTTGGGAGCATTTCTGTCCCGGTGTGTAATCCCTGTTTTTACACCTGTTTGTGGTGGTTCTTTGGATAACATTTGTGTGTTCAGAGAGCCCAAACCCACCCCTGCTCAGAGGGAAATTGTTCAGGAGTGCAAACGGGCTTCTCCTTGACTTCTCACCCCCATTTGAAAGATGTTTCCCTAGTGGGAAAGAAAGCATGAAAGAAATCTGCTGACAGCAGGGAAAATTGCTCCTTGTGGTGGTTCTGAGCCTAAAAAGATGCCTGTGCTTTGTACCAGGAAGCTGGGTGGGACCATTGATGTGATCGGGGGCCAGGCAGGCACAATCCGCAGGGTGGAAGGGAGACGCCGGGATAAACACGCCTCGGAGGAAAACCCCATCCAGGTAAAGCCTCTGCAAGGGGCTGCCTTGACAGATTGCTGATTTTATTGCACCTCTGGTGAATCCTGGGCAAACGTCTATGTGTCCTGACCTCCAGTGTCCCAGTTCATACCTGCAGAGCAGCAGGTAATGCCTTGACCCTGTTGAGGTGTGTGCATGGATCATTCCCTTCTGCAGGCTCAGTTAATTTCTGGGTTAAAAGCTTGGTCTTGCTAGGAGCCAGATTTGTCCTTTAAAGGACAGTCTTCTCTTTGGAATGGTAAGGCCTGAGTTCTTTCATCATCAGCCCTCCAAAGTTTTCCTAGGAGTGTGTAGCTGGGAATCTCTTCTGTGGATTATTCCCTTCCATTCCACTGTGGGGTTGGAATCTTCAAATCTGCAGTGAAGGGTTTGTACCTGGGGCTGGTGTTTCTCTGTACTTCAACATTTAGTCTCAAATCAGTTGGTGCAGCCCACACCTCAGACTGAGCCTGGGCCTGTGTTACTGGATCTTATCCCTTCTAAGAAATGAAAGCCTGTGTTTAAAGCTGGTCTCAGTTCTGGGCTTGCCTGCCCAGTGTGTGACCATAATGTTCTGGCTGGTTCCTAGGCAGGAAGCTGCAGGGTCTGAGGACCATCTGCCAGGCAAGCCCCCTTCTCTTAACCACCTTTCTCCTGCCAGCTCTGGTAACTTGCCAGAAAAACCTAAACATGGAACCTTTCCCTTCCTAGGCCCAATTCCTTGGGTTTTCTCCATGGTTTTGTGGTCCATTTATTTTTTTAGTAGTCAGTTTTCCAGATTTTGCCAACAAGAAGAGTTTGCCTAAGAGACAGAATTTGCTGGCAAAGGGTTGTTAGTTGTTCCTCCCCCTCACAAGCACTGCCAGCTGCACTTCAGGTCACTGTGGTGTCTCTGCATTTTGGTCACTCTCAGGCACAGCCACAGTCCTGTTGTGGTGATGATGAGGGCCCTGCTGCAGGAGCAGAGGGATTACAACACTCTCTTCTCATTCCTGTGCCCCCTAAGGTCCTGGGAGACCACGGCAGTAAGCCCCAGCCCCCCCAGCAGCCCCAGCAGCCCTCCCAGCCCCAGCAGCCTCCTCAGCAGCAGCCGTTCGCTCCACCAGCAGGGCCTCCGCCTCCCCCGCTGGCCGGGCCTCCTCCTCCGCACTTCCTGCACCCTCCTCCTCCAGTGACTTCTGTTCCACCTCCCCTGCATCCTCCAGGTACGTGTTCGCTCCGTGGAACCTGAGCTGGGATGTCCCAGGCTTGGAGCAAATCAAGAGGTTTAATGGTTCAGTGCCATGGGATGGGTGAGCACTCGGGGAACAGATCTTTACCCCTGGCCAGGCTTTGTTTAGTCTCCATCAGCCTATTTAATACTTGCCCTTAATACTTAAAAATGGCAGCTGGTCCTTGAAGAAAAAACCTCTGGGCTTTGTTTTCCTGAGGGAACCTTCCAGTGCTACTGATCCATTTGCTTTATTGATAAATGTCAGGAAGCAGGTTCCTGTTTCTCTGGAGGAAGTGGAGAACTGTTGCTTCTGGCTTAAATACATCAGGCTGAAGTGAGGGGGCCACACTGTGGGCTTCTCCTGGTCCTGGAGCAGCAGCCAGGCTCTGGAGAGGGCACCAGGAGCACTTCATGCAGTGACTCCTGCCTGAGGGGGATTTGCTGCAGCACTCAAGGGTTCTTTTCCCTAGTAACTTTTCTGTGGTAGCTTTTCCTGCTGCCTTAGATTAAAGTGCTTGGCAAAATCAAGTTGGACACCCTGGAGTGGAACCTGCAGCAGGTTCTCCTGTCCAGCTCCTTCAGTTGTTCTGAAGACCAATGGAATTGTTTGTGTGTTCACTCTCAGAAAAGGAGTTCCCCAGTGTAAGAGAACAGCAACATTTTAAATTATAAAGGTAAAGAAATCATTGCTTGGGAAAATTTTATAACTTATAGGCTGATTACTGCTTAGTAGCACCAATTTTTCTCCTGCTCTGTTTGCTCCAGTGTGAGATTTATTCAGAATTGTGCTTTGAGGTTTAGCTTGAGGTACAGAGAGTCCATGCAGTACAGAGAGGCCGTGTTGTCCTCAATTGTTTTCCCTGCTTATCTCCACAGGCCTGCCACCTCCGGGTCCAATTCCAGGTAGGTGTTACCTTGTTCTTAGTAACAGCAGCAATTTTGATCACACAGGTTCAGAGCATTTGGACTAAGTAACATGAAATAGGATGTCACCAGTTTAGAGCACAGCTAATTTAAGATCAATAAACTCCAACTGAGCATTGTACCTGAGCTGCTTATCTTCTATTCTGACACAAATCTGTAGGTCAGAATAACTTGATTGTTACATTCTGATCAGAATGCAACATGTCTGCATCCCAAGGACCACTTTTTCTCCCTAGGGCTGTAAGAGTTAATTGTTCTTCCTTGATGAATCTTCCGTTCAGTATTTATAAGCCAAAATATAAGGTAGCTTTTGCTTTGTTTTTCTTTCCATATCCCTACAAAACTAACAGAGCTTTAGGGTGTGAATTTGGGGAGAAGATCCTACCCTGAAGGAAAATTACTCCATTTTAAACAGGGCCTTGTTTAGAGTAAAAAGATGCTTTAGTGGTTTTTAACTGTGAACAGCACTCATGAAGCTGCAAGATCTTGGTGCTGATTTATCCTTCTGTGTCTAGGGCTGTTCCCACCACCTCTGGCACCACCACCAGCTCTCCTCATCCCAACCTTGGATGGGTAAGACCACACCTGGGTAAGATCATGCCATGGCAGCAGCTGCCCTGGAGGGAGGAGGGAAGGAGAAGAGATCCAAAATCAGTGCTGGGGATGCACGGTCTGGTCTTGAGTTGGGGTGGGGGAGAGCAGAGTCTGTCTGAATCCTCTGTGCATTCACCTGGATTTGTCATATTCAAGGCACAGGGAGGAGCCAGTAAAATCTAGGTAAAGCCTAGAGCAGTTCACAGCATGATTTCTTACTGCAGATGCTTTCTCCAAAGGTGCTCCAGATAGTTTGTGAGCAGTGGTGCTTTCCCAGGGCAAGCAGTGGGGTTATGGCAGGTTTGGAAGCTGTGGCAAAACCCACGAGCTTTTCTGGTAGTGGGATTCCCATAAGGATGCTCCACAGACCTCCAGGAGAAACAGGGTGAAGCTGCAGCACAGCCAGAGCTGTGGGGCTCCCTGATGTCAGTAACTCACCCCCTTTTCTCTCCCAAAGGCAGCCAGCCAGCTACAACAACAGGCAGCCACCTCCCTTTGGCTACAACTCTGCAGGTGAGCATGGGGCAGGACACATCCCACTGCTGCTCTCTCTCTTCCCTGGCTCTTGGCAGCCCAGGCTTTTCTGAGGCTGACACTCACCATGTCTGCTCCAGCTCCAGGCTCCTGCTGTGTCCCAGATGATCCCAGTCAGGAGCACAGGCTGGGTGTGCTGCTCTGAGTGTTGTGCAGGTGTGGTGATGCAGTTTTGTGGCGCAGTGCTGAGGCCCAGGTCACTGTTCAGGGCAGATGCCCAGCACAGAGAAGCTTCCCTGGTGCCTCAGCAGAGTGTTCTGCCTGTTTGCACACACACGTGCTCACCCTCTCTCACACTCTCCCTTTTCCCCACGCTCAGGGATTAGCACAAGCATCCACAACTACTGAGCTTGGCATCTCCTCCCCGAGCTTTTGAATCTCTCCCCCACTTCACCCTCTCCCTTGCCACAGGCACCATCTCCTGTGGTTTTTTAATGGGAGAGGCAGTGCCAGGATTTCAGCAGATCCCTTCCCTGGTGCAGCCCCAGTTCTCTCCCAGTCCTGTAGTGACCAGGAGTGGCTCCTGGCTGTGCTGAGCAGTGGAAGCACAGGCAGCCCTGCAGTGCCTCCCTGCAGGACAGGGCTGGAGGAGTGGCAGTGCCAGCCCTTCCCAAGGAGAGGAGCCTGCAGTGCTGCCAGATGTGGCACTGCTTTGGGATGTGACCTCACCAGTCCAGCTGGCCACCTCTGCCTGCGAAATGCTGGTGGCTCTGGGCTCCCCAGGTGACATCTTTCACTGGCACGTGGTGCCCCTGGCCCTCCCCAGGTGCCACCCTAGAGCAGAAGGTACCTGGTGGGAGGTGGGACCTTGTACAGGTGACCAAGAGCCCGGGGCTGACAGAGACTGTGCAGTGCTGCCTGCTCTTGGGCCTTCCCCAGGGAGGAGCTCCCTGTTCTTAGCAAACTGCTTGGAATGAAGGGGAGGCACAGCAGGGAGCTGGGCCATTGTCTCCTTGGATCCAGCTCTGCTGCCAGAGGGGATCTTTGGAAAGGGAGGGACAGAGGGGGTGCTGGGCATGCTCTGGCTGACAGAGGGTTCTGCTCTGGCTGCAGATTCAGGTTTCATCAGCTACCCCCCGATCTCCACGTCCCACACGCCCTGGGTGACCACGGTGGACAAGGGCACGAGCAGCTCCAGCAGCAGCCACTGGGAGTACTCGGGCTCCAGGCGGGACAGGGAGCGGGAGCGCGAGCGGGATCGGGACAGGGACCGCGACCGCGACCGGGACCGCACCCCGACCACCAGTGAATACAACAAGTGAGTGCTGCCTCCTGCTGCTCCCTGGGCAGCCCTGGGCCACCTCAGGGTGTCTGGCCAGCGGCTGGGTATAGAGGACACCAGCTGAATTCTCTGGAATGTCTGGGGAAGAGCTCCTTTGGGTCAGTAACTGCAGCACAGACCAGGAGCTGTGCCACTGGCTGATTTCCTGTCTCTGGGTCTGGGATTTTTGTTTAAATCCAGCAGAACCAGTTCATCTTGCTCTCCCATGGGGCCAGTCAATGAAATAGCCCCTCTGTGTTTACTCAGTGTTTCACAGCTCAGTGTGAAGCACTGGCTGGAGGAGCTGCTGCTTCTTGTCTTCTAAATGTTTGTCAGATCAAAGCACAAGCAAGCCCTGCTCTGCTCCGCTCTCCTGTGGGGCTGGGAGTGCCATTCCCTGGCAGTCAGCCAGGAAATGGGAGCAGGACTGGAGAGACCACCTTGGTGGGAGCTGATGTGGCCTCAGCTGACAGCAGTGCTGGGAGCACTTGGGAAAGAACAGGAGGCTTGGAGCCTCCCTGTGTTCATCTAAGGTGGAGGCTGGGCTGCAGAGACTTCCCAAACCCATCCTTTGGTGTTCAGTCAGCAGCAGCGTCGGAGTTTTGCAGACTCCAGGCTCAGAAATTCCAATAATCATTCAAAACATGATCAGAATGTGCATTCCTGGCACAGGGTGCTTCCTGCTGGGGAGCTTCCCAGCCCAGGGAGGGAGCTAACAGGGCAGCGTGCTCCTAATATTTTTTTTCCTTTATAAGCTTTTGGGTACTGTGGATGGGAGCGGGGGAAAGAGAACAGAAGACAAACTTGCTAAAATTGGGAAGATCTCAGACTCCCCCACTTCCTGGTCCGTGCTGGAGCCAAGGCCTGGGATCAGCACTCCTTGAGCACATTGCTGGCATTTCTGGGTGGTGTGGAGCACCCTGGTGCAGGTCAAAGCAGGGCAAGAGGCCGTGCAGTCCTTTGAAGCACGCCCAGCTGATTGATCCTGGACATTTATTTGTTTCCAGGAGTGTCAGAACAATGTCTCCGACATCCTGTCTCCCAAGCCTTGAGTATTGTTCCCACAGGGGGACCGTTAACCCTTCTGGTTTTGGCTTTCAGAAGTTGACCAGGGGCATGTAGAGGGGAGTGTGGGATGTGTCTCAGTTTGGGGTACACCCTGCCCACTCCTGGGGATTGAATGAGGTGCTTTGAGCAGGTAGAGGGGCACAGACAGAAAGCTGTGCTCACAGTTTGACGTTTTGAGCCCGTGGGGAAGAAAAGAGCCCCTTACAGCAAAGGATGGGAGGTTACCTGGGGTGTCACGACAGAGGGAAGCCAGCAGCAGGGAGGGAGCGCTGGAGGAGCGTGTGCGCTGTGCTCCTGCTGCAGGTGTTCCAGGAGCACCCGCTCAGTAGCAGGTGCCAGATGTTGCCGGTGAGGGCGGCTCAGCTCTGCCCGGTGGCTCAGGCCCGGGGGCCGTGTCCCTGTGCCCACGTGTCCCTTGTCCCCGCAGTGACGACGAGCGGTACCGCTACTACAGCCGCGAGCGCAGCTACGACTTCGAGCGCGATTACCGGCGCAGCCGCGACCGCAGCCGCGAGCGCGAGGAGCGGCACCGCGAGCGCCGCCACCGCGACAAGGACGACGGCAGCAAACACAAATCCTCCCGCAGGTCAGTGGGGAATTCCTGTTCTCGGGGTGGAATGGCAGCCTGGCTCATCCCAGCTCCCTCTGTGGGAGCTGTGGGTGGGAGGAACCCTCTGGGACAGGGAAAGGAGACCTTGGGGTTGAGTTGCCACTCAGTGGTGAAGGAGGGATTGAGCTGGGCTCAGCCTCCCAGCAGAGCTGCCATCTTAATGAAAGCACACACAAAGGAGGTGCAAGGCCACGACAGAAGCATCAGCTTTTGGTCCTGCTGTTCCTGTGCACCAGGGCAGAGCCCACAGAATCAATTAGGTTGGAAAAGACCTGTGAGATCGAGTCCAATCTGTGACCCAGCACCACCTTGTCACCCAGACCATGGCACTGAGTGCCACATCCAGCCTTTCCTTGAACATCTTCAGGGACAGTGACTCCATCACCTCCCTGGGCAGCCCATTCCAGTGCCCAGTCACTCCTTCTGTGAAGAACTTCCTTCTGCCTGCACTCAGAAATTGCTTCTTGAGCAGGAGCAGAGCTCTTGCCCAGAGCCTGATGGTGAGGGAAGTGATGATCTGCACCATGATAAAACTTCTGGGGCAGAGCAGCACATCCTGAAATCACAGCTATTCTGCAGAAAATGGGTTTGCAACAGATGATCTTCCTGGAAGAGCAGCCCCAGCAGAGCAGCAGCCCTGCTCTCTGTGCTGAGGCAGGTTCTGTGCTCAGGTCCTGTGTCACTTCACATCCCATTAATGACTTGTTCTTGCTCTTTTTCCTTGATGTGTCAGCTCCCTTCTTTTAGGGGAAACTCCTGTCAGCTCTGTAGGTAATTACCCTTCTTTTGAAACTGGTATCAGAAAAACTACTGTGCACTGACTGGAGGAAAAATTTTTTCCTTAAGGAGATGAGTAAGTTTTCAAGGAAGGACTGATTGCTAAAGGGTTGGAAGCAAAATGATAGGAAGAAAGACTAAGACCATAATAAAAACTTAATACAGACAACTGGAAGCTGAGCTGGTATCAGACAAACAAGCCATTGGCTTTAGGGTTATTTCTCAGCTTCCTCTACTCAGAATTGAAACCTTGGAGTAGATACCTCACTGTAAGAATCCCAGCCCATGGTCCCCTCCAACCCAAACCTTCTGGTATTCCCTGCTTGAGGCACACTGAGGTTTGAGCCTGTGTGAGGCACCTGCAGATGAAAGGGTTTCATTCCCAGCTTCCTGCAAACTGAGCAGTGTGCAGGAAATCACTGACGCTGGTTTCAGTATTAAAGGATAGTCACATTGTCCCAGCTAAACCACTGACACGGCGGCCACGAGGTGGCTGAAGGTGTTTTGTGGAGAGGCAGCAGCCTTTTATTTTTCCCTATTTTTCTTGCCTTTAATGGCTGTGAAACCATTTATTAAACCAGCCAGAAAATTACATGGTGAAGCCAGGAGCTTTTCCAGGTTCAGCCAGTTCAGTGTCTGCTGCTAAACTGGAATTCCAGCTGTGCTAGGAATTGGTCTGTACACCTGATGCTGTCCCTGCTCATGGAGCTGTGCCTGCACAGTCACAGTTTATCCTGGGATAAATTTATCTGCTTGTTCCTGTACTCTGGGCTGTGCTTTAACTGTGCCACCTTCACACCACAGTCAGCTCCTTAGAGCTCCTGTGGTTTGAACCTGTGAGAGAAGCAGCAGAAAATCTCCTTCTGGGGGAGCCAAACCAGCACTCTGCCCTTTTCCTGGTGGGAGGCAGAGCTGCTCCTGGGGCTGTGCTGGCTGCATGGAGCAGCTGGCAGGGCACAGGCTCAGGGCATGCACAGCCTGCTCAGGCCTCTTCTGCCTGGGATTGCTCCCACATCACAGAAATCCTGGGTAAACATTCCCAGTTATCACCCACATCTGGAAAACTGGGGGAGATAAAGGAGTTCCAAAGCACGAAGCCAGTGAAAAGCCAGCTCAGGTGTGAGTCAGCAGAAGCAGAAACAGGATCTGCCTCCCAGATGATGGGGAACCCACATTTCTCTCACTCCACTGATCCCTTTGCTGCCTCTACTCCAGGGATTTCCCCAAAACGTTCAGAGGAGCGAAAGTTTCAAACACGTCTCGGGTTTAGGACTCCTCCTCCTCTCAGCCTTGGTGCTGTGTCAGAATTGTTGGAGCTCGCTCAGGAGTGGAAGAACAGCAAGGTGTTGCCTGTGGGCACTGCCAGGAGTGGCTGGGCAGTGTGACAGTGGCAGCGTGTGAGTGTGACAGCGGCAGCGTGGCAGTGCTGATCCATCCCAAAAATCCCTACCGTGCCCTTGGCATTGCTGAGGTGGCTCCCTCAGGTGGGGATCAAAGCCCTGTGTCCATCACCGGGTCCCTGCTGTGGCAGAGCTGTGTCTGATGTCACTTTGTCCCCTCTGTTCCCTGCTCAGGAAGCAGCACGAGAGCGAGGAGGGCGAGAGCCACCGGCGCCACAAGCACAAAAAGAACAAGCGGAGCAAGGAGGAGAAGGAGGCCAGCGAGGACGGTGCCCAGGAGGGCGAGGAGCAGGACACCAAGGAGTGAGCCAGGCCCCCGTCAGCCCTCGGCAGGAACTCTCCTCTGGAACCAGCATGGAATTGGTGATGTTTTGTTTGGGGGGTGATTTTTTTTTATTATTATTTTTTACTTTTTTCCAAGGGAAGAGGCTGACTGGGCGAGCTGTGGCACAGCTGGAAGTGCTTCAGGAGCTGAGGCTGCACGTGCCCTTAAACTTCCTTTTTTTGTTTGTTTTTGATACAAGACAATACAGCAGTACTAGTTACAAAGCACTGAGCTACTCTACTCATCCACATCCCTAGGGAGAACTTTGGTGTATCAGATCCTATGGTTTCTGATGGAAGATGGCTTCAGCTGAAAACTAATGCAATTAGGTCATAGTTCTTTTTGTCTTCATCATTCCTTTTTGAGAACTAGGACAGTAAGTGCAACTTGAAATTTATTGTCCAAAGAAGAGCGTGACTTAGATCCCGGGAGCCAGCTTAGAGTCTGGTGTCCAGTAGTGAAAAGTCTCATCCCTGAATAAATTTCTTTATAGCTACAAAAACAGCTTCTGATTTCTGCGTGGCCAGCTGGGCGTGTCAGCAGGAGCTGCAGGATCTGCTCCAGGTGGGCACAGAGGCCTGCCTGGATGTGACAGCTTCCAGAAGCTGCTGAGGGCGTTCACACAGCGTGTGCAGAGACTCCAAATCTGGGTTTTTTTATCCATTGCAAAGGCAGTTCTGTCATGTTACACCCCTGTGTGGGGAATCAATGAAGATCCATAGCAAGAGCATGAATTTCTCTTTAATTCCTTTTGACTTAACTATTTTATTTCCTTTTTTTACTAAGAGTTGACTGAATAACCTAGAGTACAGTAGAGAACACCAAGTTCCAGTTAGCAATTTGCCCTCGTTGGGACTGGTGTTTCTGTTTGGATATCACCAACACTCCTGTCCGATGCATTCCTTTCCCTTAGATCCCAAAATAAATTTAGTCAAATTCCAAAGTTTCTTTGGATTTAGTATTGGTTGGGAAGGGGCAACAGAAATGTTTCTGGGTGGGAAGAACAGGGGAAATAATTTTGAGGGGTTTTTGTCTGTCTGGTCATTAGGATCCTGCCCTTCCGTTTGTGTGAGTCCACAAATGTCTCATTTTCCTTTGACTTGTTATTTAAAACTGTCTGAAATATTTGTCCTAAAATAATATGGTTCTGAAATGTTCTGTATTTTTTTGGTATTGTAATCTTGGAAGTCTTGAGTGTGCCGGGAAGTGCCCAGCCTGTGCCAGGAGAGCCCTTTGGTCTGGGTTCAGCATTGTGCCAGTGCAGTGACGGGTTTGTAGCTGCAGAGCCCAGGGGAGGAGGAGGAGAACTGGGACTTCTGCTGGTTTTGGTTTTCATGGAGGTTTTTTAATGTGCTTGAGCTCCTGGGAGATGTGTGTGCACTGAGCCAGGGTTAGCTGGGATCGGGCTGCAGGCTCTTCCTGCCTCTGCAGCCACGGTGGAGCCCAGATTTAGGAATATCACCCACTGCCCCCTGGGCAGCTCTGCGAGCTGCAGCACTCCCAGCTCCTGGCACTGGGTGTGCGAGGAACAAGGGAATCCTCCTGGCAGCTTCTGCTCAGGGCTGGGCTTCAGCTGGGAGTGCCCAACAGCTTTTAGGAGAATGGGATGAACTTATAGGAGAAATCCAAGCCAGAGTGGTGAGGAGGATTCAGGAGTGCTTGCTCTGTGCCCCCTGGCACTGCTCACGACAGAGGGGCCCCCTCCCCTGCAGAGCCCAGGGCAGTGCCAGGGGAGAGGGCCCAGAGCCCTGGCCAGCCTCCCTCGGGAGCCTGCAGTTGCTGAGGGTGAGACCTGCTGGCTTTCCAGCACAGGAGCTCTGACCTTGCTGGGGCAGCCAGTGCCAGTGGGGGCCTGGAAGTGCCCCCAGCCCCCTCTGAGCTGGCTTTCCCTGCCTGGATCAGGAACGGTGCTCCACTGGAATGCTGCACCAGGGGAGGAGGGGTTGGCCCCAAACAAGGACATTTCTCCCACCTTTGCATGCTCAGGTGTCCCTGGTGGCTCTCCAGGGGCGGCCAGGGCTGTTCCACAGCCACTCCCTGACCTCCTGCAGAGTTAATGGTGATCACATCCAGTCTGCACCCCGGGTGGTGCTGTGGGACCGGGAACAGGGAATCCAGCATGGATTCAGTCAGGGCTGCACCTCCTCCTGTGTTACTTGAAGGAGCTGCACCCAAGTCACAGAATATGCTGAGGTGGAGGGGACCTTCACGAACAGGGGCAGGCTTTTGGGGCCAGGAGCAGCTGTGAATTTGAGGTAAGTAGTTTTAAATTGGTTTCTTTTCATTAAATAGAAGTAAAATGTTTGCCTTTACTATCAGAAATGTAAAGGTGGAGTTGTTGGAAATAATCTGTACTTGGCAGCAGAAAGCTGCTGCAGGTTTAGTGGTGTTGGGATGTGGGGCTTACTGTTGTTGAGGGATTTTTCCCAGCCACAGTGTATTTCAGGAAAGTCCAGCTCCTTTCCTGGGAGAAGCAAAGACAATTACACTGTTTCCTGCCACAGGGTCACTTTTTGGAGCAGTCTTGCTGAGGTGACCTGTTCTGGGGGCATTAGTTACTACATGGAAAGAAAGGGTAAAAACCACACTTCTAATGCATATTTTTCAGCAATATTACAATAATTTATAAAGGCATCAAAACAAACTCAACATCTATTAACAAGCTGATTTTGGAAACAAAATTTAAATTATGAGGACAGTTTGGTGAAGTTGAAGGCACCTTGAAAGGAGATGGAGTCAAAATGGTTCTGCAGCCTCCTCTGTTCACTGCCAGCCCAGCAGAGGCACAGCTCTTCCCTCCTGCCCTTTCCCCACGTTTGGGGCAGGCACTGGGAATCACCCTCTCTCTGTCCACATCAGTATTTACTGTTCCAGGCACAGATTCTGCACATTGATTGGAAAGAGATAAAAAATTGCTTCATGTTTTTGTGTCGAGTTTTCTTTGTGGATTATTTTGCTCTCAGCATTGCCCAGTAGGACAAGAGGAAAGCAGCCCTGGAGCCCAGGTAGCCCCAGCTGTGCTGCCAGAGTCCCCAGAGGTGTTGCTGAGCCCAGCCAGGGCTGCTGGGAGGATGGAGCTGAGGTTCCTGCCGTGTCCTGGGCTCTGGGACAGGCCCTGCTGTCCCTGCTGCAGCTCCCAGCGCAGGAAGTGAAGTCACTGTGTGTAAACAAGGCCCAGGGACAGCACATGACAAATTGCCAGCCCAGGAGAAGCTTCAGCCAGGCCTGGGCTCTTTCCTGCAGGGCTGCTACAAGCAATTAAACATTCATTCTAGGCAGCATTGGCACAGGGGACAGACTCCTTGGATTCTTACAAAACTGGTCCTGCAAAAGGTGCAGCAGAGGCAGCACAGGAGGAAAGATCTCTCAGTGCAACCTGCTTTGAGAAAAACCCATCATCTCCACTGCTGCTAAAAAAGGGAATTGCTTCAGGTGGAGTTTGCAAGTAGGAACTTTCACAGTGTCAGAGGTCAAAGCACCCTGCCTGGGCTTCAGTTCTTTAACTGTGAATTTTAAGTGCACAGTGGGTTTGAACTGAAGCCAGGCTGGGCACAGTCTCCTTCTGGAGGTGACTCTTCCTGCAGCCAAGGATCCTTTGAGCTTCCCCTGATCCCATAAGTTGATATTTTGCTCCAGCTGCAAGAGGGACATGAAGAGAACTGCAGGAGAAATCTCACCTGCCTGAGAGTACAGGTGCTTCTGCCCCTGCCTGAACTCTGCCCTTCATCACTGGAAACATAAAAATAAGACAGGCATTGGGCTGGGCTAGGGGTGTCTGACACCAGCCCATTCCCTTCCTCACCTTCCTTCTGGGCAAAAAGCTGCTTTTATCAATCCTAAAACCAGGGAAACTGGTGTGCAAGTGAACCTTGCCCCTGACCTTTGGTAAAGTCACATTTTGTGTCATATTTCAATGAAACCCCTCTTGCTGCTGCCTTTGAGAGTGGTTCTTTGAGCTGTTGAAATTGTCCCTTTGCAATAAATCAGTGGAAGTGAGAGGATCCTAAACTGGGATTTGTGCCAGGACCCTCATACAGGTAACACAGCTCCACCAGGCTGCCCCAGCAGCTCTGAGTTTACCGTGGGCTTTTCATGTTTTAACACATCCCTTGGGTTACTGACACCTAAAAATGCTCCTGAAAATCCTGATAGACAGAAATGCCTAAATTGGGTCCCCATCCTTACAGATCTGGTAGCTGCTTCTAAAAGCCTCTGTTTTAACCTGTTCAAATACTCAGTGGAAAGCAGAGCCCTAAAATCAAGGCAAGCCTCAGCAGCCTCCAGGGCAGGTTGTGGAGAAACACTGGGAGGAACTTTCTGTGCACCGCCAATCCTAAGGAGCTTTAATGAGCCTGGGAAGCTCCAACAACTGTTGGATTAACCCTTACTTTGAATTCAACATCCAGATTTGTTGGTAAAATGTTTTCCATAAAAAGGAAGCAAGGAGTCTTCCATGGCAATGCACGGGAGCAGGAGTGGAGCAGTCCCTGTTTTCCTGTCAGGTGTGGCTGGGTGGTGCCCAGCTGCTGTTGGATACCTGGAAGTGCTGGGGCTTTGTTGGAGCTGTCACACCAGGCTCCCTGGCCAGGACACCACGGTCAGGGTGACTTTGTTCCTCTGCTCCTTCAGCATTGGGATTAATTCCGAGTTGCTCATTCCTATTGCTGGCACTCCGTTCACTGCCACGATTTCATCTCCACACCTGCCCAAAGACAGGATCCAGTCAGGACTGGCTTCATTATTAACCCTGCACCAAACCATCAACTCCTCCTTGAAAGACTTTCTCCCTTGAGTCAGAGGGCAGGGAAGAGGAGAACACTGCTGGCCCAGGTCACTGCCACCAGCAGAGCTGTGGGAGGGACCTGCCCCTCTGGCACCCCCAGCCCCTTCTGGGGCTGCAAGGGGCTGAGCCCCCACAGCCCCATGCCAGCACTCCAACAGGAGCCCAGCTGAGCCCAGTGCTCCCACTGCAGCTCTGGGAGCAAAGCCCAGCTCCCTGCACCCAGCTGTGTCCCAGCCCTTGGTGCCCAAGAGCCAGCCCAGCCTCCCAGAGAAGCCTGTGGGGTCCTGCAGCCCCGTGCTGCTCCTCTCACTGGGATCTCTCACCAACAACCACCTCAGCCAAGCTCGAGTTAAAGTTCCTGCACAGGAGGGCTTTTGTTGCTCGTGTTGGGATACTTTTCCTAATCCAAGAGGTTTTATAGTCTGGAACCTCCAAGATTCATCTCAAACATCCCCCTTCTACTTTTACCAATGCCTCAATTAAACCCTTCACAGTTAGGTTTTAAAGGGCTGTAAATTTCTTTTCCTCGCACCTTTATGGAGAAACCAAAACACTGCTTAACGCAGGCCTTAGTTTGTTACAAGTCTGGCAACAGTATTAACTTTCAAACGAGTGCAAGACCGAGTCATTAACTCGGAGCTGAGCTCCTTCCAAAGGTCAAGGTGTGGGAAATCCCCCAGCCCTGGTGGTGGTGATGGTTCCCCGGGTACCTCACACCTACTTGAGTTTCCTGTCGCGGAATGCAGGAGTCCCGGGCACGATGGTTTTGATGAAGAAGGGTTGGTTTCCTTTGCTTTCCTCAAAGCCTCCCACGATGCTGAAGCCCCAACTTTCCAGGTTTCCTTTACTAAGGACAATATCTTGACAGAAGTGAAGGTAGCTGTGTCAAAAACAGAGAAGTTATGAGGAAAATTGAGCAGGAATTTATGTTTTCCCTCATGGAAAGCACAGCTATGAACAGCCTAATTTTCTGGTTTTTAGGATTTGAGACACTCCTTTGCAAGGCGTGTCAGAGGGTTAATTCTCCAATGGGATGATGCCAGTCCTTTAGAATTTTTTTTTTAGTATTAGTTTAAGAGGTAAGAGGAAATCACCTGGCTCTAAAGGGGTTTGGGATCTTCAAGATCCCAACTTCATGTTGGGAGTAACGTCATGAATTCTGCTAATGAACACCCCCAGCACCAGAGACAAACCCAAATTACCAGCGAGCAGCAGCTACACCCATGCAGGCGATGAGAGCAGAGGGGTTTTATCCCCTCTGTGCACTGCACTGGCACAAGGGAGGATTTCAGCATCACTGGCAGCAAATGTGAGGTGCAGCAGCTGCCAGATCAGAGCAGGGAACGGCTTTCCTGTA